CACACGGCCAAGGCGGGGTCCCGCCGCTGCTCCCGCGGCAGGGAGGCTCGACCGCGGCCGAAGGGGGCGCACGCTTTATCTCCGCTTCAAAACACGCCCGGCGTGCCTGTCCACGGGAGGCTGAGGCAGGAGGATCACCTTGAGCTGTGACTCGGTCTCAAAAAAAAAAAAAAAAACAAAAAACAAAAAACCCACAAACTGGGGAAGGCTCCCAACTGAACTCCTGGGGTCCGCGCTGCCCAAATCTATTTGCCAAGGGCCCCTGGCACGGGAAATTCGAGCACCCCGAGGCACGGGGGCTCCTCCGCCCCAGCCGCTCCTGAGAGCCTCCTTTCCGCGACGCCGGGGAAGGGGTCGGGCCGCTGCCCCCGCCCGCGGCTTCTGATGAGCGCGGCCCGGGGTCCCTCCAGGCCACCCCGGGGCTACCCCGGTGGGCCGGGAAGGGATGGGCAAGGCCACCCCACGTACAGGGCCACTCCCGGCGCCAGGCCCGGAGTTTGAACCGCCCCGTGGGCGGTTCAAACCCGGCCCGCTGCGCCCGCTGCTGGTCCCAGGATCCCCGCGTCGGGGCACCGGGCCTGGCTCCGTGCACTGCCCACACAGGGCGCTCGGCGCCCCTGGGCGCCCTGAGGCCATCCCCGGCACAGCCGCTCCCCAGCGCACACTCCCGGGAAGAACTGAGAGGCCGGGACTCGCACCCAGGCCAGCAGGCAAAGATCCAGCCAGGAGATGCCCTGTGGAAGACCGGGAGTCTCCAGCCAGTGAGGCCGTGCTCAGCGCAGCCCCAAGGGCGAGGAAATCCATCCGGGATCCAAAGAGCGGCCTCAGCAAATTAAAAAGCTGCACAGCCCGGCGCGGTGGCGCAGGCCTGTAATCCCAGCACTCGGGAGGCTGAGGCAAGAGAGTCCTCTGGAGTTCGAAACCAACCTGGGCTACAGAGTGAGCTCAAGGCCAGCCTGAGCTGCATAGTGAGAGGAGACCCTGTCTCAAAGAGACAAAAATAATTAACTAATTAATTAAAAAAATTAAAAGCTGCACAGCAAAGGAGGCTACACTCAGAGCAAAGAGAGGAGCCTTCCGACGGGGAAAGGTGTGCAAGTTACACTTCAGACATGCGTGCATGCCGTGCTCACAGCTAGAACTCGCAAAGAACTCACAAAACGTAGACGCCCCCCAAAACAAAAGGCCCAACCAAAGAACAGGCGTCTGAAACAGAGACGCTTCTCAGAAGAAGTACAAAAGGCCAACAAGTGCATGAAGAATTGCTCACACTGAAATAAAGACATAAATCAGTACAACAACGCTGCGACCCCATCTCACTCCAGAAAGAGCTCCATCATCCCGAAATTAAATAATACCAAGCGCTGGCGGGGCTTCGGGGAAACGGATCCTTCTGCATTACAGGTGGGAGTGTACACCAGGACCACCGCGACGGAATCAGCATGGAGCTTCCGCAGAAAGCTAAAGCCAGCTACTCCACTTGACCCAGCAGCTCCCCCCCAGGTATCTTCCCCAGAGAGTTAAAGACACCGCATGAGGGTGCTCCAAGCACACCCATGCCGACAGCAGCACAAGTCATCACAGCCAGATCTTGGAAGCGGCCTGTGTGTCATCGACAGACGAATGGATAGGGAAAATGTGGCATTTACACACCCTGGAGCACTGCTATGCCGTGAAGAAGGGTGAACCCCGGTCGTGTGTGGGAAAATAGGTGCATCCTGAGGCCACAGTGTTATGAGAAATAAATCAGACAGGCAAGCACAATCACCCCATGGTTTCCTCACGTGAGAACCCTAAAACGTGAAGTTAATGAAAGAGAGATAGGGAACCTGTTCAGGACCCCTCCTGTCTCAGGAGCTACTTCTACTCCGTATTCCTGGTCTCCCATAAACTTTCCTCCTCTAAGAAAATAAAGAAAACGAAAGACAGATGATAGAAAAAGAGACAGATTTTAGCAGGAAGGAAGGGGACCAAGCGGCGGGAGCAGGAGAAAAGCAGGGCAGGGCAGGGATGCGTCAGGCACCCGCTCCCCGCACGAGTGTGGTGGTGAGGTCCTGGGGACAGGGCCTAAGAAAAGTGAAGTAAAAAAGAAAACAGATGGGGCTGGGGATTTAGCTCAGCGGCAAAGCACCTGCCTGGCAAGCGCAAGGTCGTGAGTTCGGTTCCTGGTACCAGACAAAAACCAAAAAAAAAAACAGATGCCCCCGAGGGTCTCCGGCCAGCCCCTGGGCAGCCGCCCCAGCCCTGTCAGAGATGGCCAGGGTCAAAGACTGCGAGGTGAGAGGGGACCCCGCCGCCCCAGTGCCGCCACGGCCGCTCCTCGGGTCATTTCCAAAGCAGCGCTGTTCTCCGGCCTCCTCTCCCGGCAGGGGGAAGCTCCTCTCCCCTGCAGATCAAAGGCCTCGGCGGGTCCAGGGCCCGCAACACTGCTGCTGACCCTCCCGGTGGGCAGACAGGATGCCACCCGAGAAGACCCAGCCCTGCTGCCCTGCAGCTCACGCGAAGCCAGGTCCCGCCCTGGGCCACTCTGTCAACACTGATCCTCGCGTCCCTGCCGGCTTATCCTTCTGGAAGGCAGAGCTGTTCAAATCTCCCTTTACGTCCTTTGCTAGCCGGTGTCACACGCCACGCTAACACTGCCTTTCCTCTTTTTTTTTTTTTTTTTAAGTTTTTACTTTGAGACAGGGTCTCGCTATGTTGCCCTGGCTGGGCTCAAACTCTCCATCCTCCTGCCTCAGCCTCCCAGAGTGCTGGGATTACAGGCGTGCACCACTGCACCTGCCTTAACACTGCAATTCTTAAAAATAAATGTCAGGTTCCACTGGTGTCAAACTCAATAGAACAGTTCTCCTTTTTTTTGCCAAAGACAGATCATCAAAACCGACTCGTGAAGAGGCGCTGGCTGAGGCGAGAACTCGGGCTGGCAGGCGAGGAGCACAGTGGGAGTCTTTCTTCACTTTTCCTAGTATTTTTTTGCCTGTACCGAGGACAGAACCCTCCCTCCAGGCCGGTGTGCAAGGTCTGTCCCCAGCCCTTTGTAATGTGCTTTAAGACAAGGTCTGGGTGAGTTGCCCAGGCTGGCCTTGAACTCTCGATCCTCCCCAGTCCCAAGGGGCTGGGATTAACCGGCACGCAGACGGGATCCCGTCACAGCCTGCTCTCCCACAGGGTCTCAGCCCTGTGCTGACCCTCAGCCCTCCGCCCCTAGGGACCCGTCCTAAGGAAATAACAGGAACAGGAGGGGAATAAAAATGTACAGAGCAGTGTGCCTACCGCAGTATGCAATACTAGGAAATCAGAACGCGCTAACATGTCTACAGCAGAGAAGCAGTTAAGTCAATCATGGAATCATCAGCTGAGAAAGTAATACAGCATCGCTGCCAGATGTGATGGCACACACCAGGAACCCTGGCACTCAGGAGGCTGAGGCAGGAGGATCCCTACAAGTTGGAGGCCAGCCTGGGCTACATCGTGAGGCCAAGGCCAACCTGAACTGCACAGCAGACCCCGTGTCAAAAAGCCACAGATAATACTAATAAGTGTAACACGATTACAAGATAAGATTTTGTCCTCTGGCAGGACCGCTATGTGTTTAATGCTCGGATGACCTGGACACACCGGCACCAGAACAGGAAGGGGCATCGGGGCCCCAGGATCCCAGGTCTGCACAGGGAACCCTCTCTGGAATGTCGGAGTCACCGAAATTTCCGAACACAAGAACCCACCGCGGCCGCAGGTCGCCCCAGGCCACGCCTACCTTGAAGGTCCGGTCCATGGACGTGGAGAGCAGCAGCTGGCTGCGGGCCGGCACCGGGCACCACTGGATGCTGTTGACGGGGCCCTGGTGGCCCCACAGGCGGCACAGCACGGTCCTGGGCACCCGGGTCTCTCTGCGCGGGCTGTTCAGATGCGGCCGGATCGCCTCGCACGCCCCGGGGGCCAGGCGGAGCGGGGCCGGGGCACTGCCCTCAGGGGGCCCCTGAGGCTCCCGAACCGGCTCCGTGGCCGCCGCCTGCCTCAGCCTCTTGGGGGTGTAGGGCACCACGCAGTCCTCGCTCCTGCGCTTGTGCAGGGGCCCGGCGGGGCCGCCCGGGGCTGCAGCCTGGTCCTGGGCCCAGGAAGCGGGCAAGGCGGCCCGGGGGGCTCGGAGCGGCTTGCAGGGGGCG